ATAGTAACTTTCATGGATGTGGTTGAATTTTTATAATTTCCTTTGATTAAAAGTGTAGCTATTTTCTTCACTTGATTGACTCTGAGGCTCTTGGTTTAAGGCCAAAATTACCAAATGTTTAAAGATACACTAAATAAATTTAGTACATAGGTTTGTGATATTTTAAAACTGATCTGTAATCTTTTAAAATAAGGTGTTTATAAGATACCTTGTGATGTGTTTTGTTTTTGTTTTTTTTTTTCTCCTGTGTTCCTGCTGCAATACTAACAGCACAACAGTTCAAAGTATTCTTTTTGAATACATAGCTTGACCCATCTAGCATACATTTAATATGGCAAGAGTGGGGAAGTGTTAAGGGTGTAATGTCTGAAGCCTATCATGCAGGGACTTGCATGATGAGAAGGAGAGAAAACACAGGACAATTTTATTTCTCTTTGCTAATATTAATTAATGGAATCTTTGCTAATATTAATTAACATTTGCTTTCTGCCTTTCTCATCCATTGTTTTACAAAATATTCTAGGAAATCGAAAAAACATAAAAACTTGGTCAGGCAGTCTTTATTTGGTGTTCTGAATTGTGCGTGCAAGGACTTAGTTTAGCTGGATTAAAATCAATTGAACATCACGTGATTCAGAATGGTGGATTGACTCAGGTGCAATACTGAGGAACTGTCTGTGTATTTTTGTTTAAGGGTAAAACAATGTGGCATTTCTCTTGTAGAGCAATTGTACATGTGCAGTCTGTTCCAGTGCTTGATAGCCCTTTAAGCGAGGAAATTTTTCCCAATATCTACACTGAACCTCCTCTACCTCAACTTAAGGCCATTTCTTGTCATCCTGTTACTTATTGCTTGGGAGAAGACGCTGACACCTACCTGTCTACACCTTCCTTACAGGCAGTTGTAGAGAGTGATAAGATTCCCCTGAGCCTCCTTTTCTTCAGGCTGAACATCCCCAGCTCTCTCAGCTGGTTCCCATCAGACCTGTGCTCCTTCCTCAGCTCCATTCCTTCTCTGGACCCATGCCAGCACCTCAGGATTTTTCTGGTAGTGAGTGCCTCAAAACTGGACACAGGACTGAGGTGTGGCTTCATTAGTGCTCAGAACAGGGGAATGGTCACTGCCCTGGTTCTGCTGCCGCACTATTCTGCTGGCCAGCTAGGTGTAACACCATCCACCAGCACTTCCTGGGCTCCTCTGCCCAGCCAATTTTTTACCCAGTGAACAGTGCATCCAGGCAAGTCATGAGCAGCAAGTTTCTGCAGGAGAGTGCTTTGTCAAAGCAAACCGTGCCGAAGACTTTACTAAATTCCAGGCAGACAAAATTTACAGCCTTTCACTCATTCCACTAAGCAGATCACCTGGTCATGGGAGAAGACCAGGTTGGTCAAGCAGCACTGGCCTTTTACAAACCCCTCCTGGCTGGGCCTGACCCCTGGTTGTCCTGAATGTGCCATGTAACAGCCCTCTAGATGATCTGCTGCATATGCTTTTCCAGGATCAGGGTCTGACTGATAGGCCTGTGGTTTCCTGGATCCTCCTTCCAGCCTTTCTTGTAGATGAGCATCACACTTGGCAGCATCTAGTCAACTGAAAGAGCCCTCATTAGCCAGGACTGGTTGTAAATAATTGAAAGTGGCTTGGTAAAGCACTTCTAGTAGTTCCCTCAAGGCCCATGGATCCTGTTCCTGTGTCTGTGGTGTAGCAGGTCACTGACCAGTCCCCCTTGGACTATGAGGGCTCTTCATTCTGTTCCCTGTCCCTGTCTTCCAATTCAGTGGGCTGGCTCCCTGGAGAGCAACCAGACTTGCTCTTAAAGGCTGAGGCGAGGAAAGCATTACTGGTCTTTAATGAGTTAGTGTGAGCAGTTTTATTTCAAAGCAAGAGCTGCTTGTTAAAGAATTTACTGTGTCTGGAAGGTATGACAAGGCCTTCGGTGGGGAGCATTATGATCGGGTATCCTTAAATGGGATGTAGCCTCAAGGTTGAGAGTCTCTYGTGTCCATTGAAGGGAAAAAGAAACCACTAAACTATGCCATGAAAGGGTGAAGCAGGAGGAACTGACATCTGCATTAGGAATTTAGGCTGAAAGAGGGTAAGATGAGAGAGAACTCCTTTTCCAGAGTTCTGTTTTTTGCCAGCAGGGGAAAAAAAAAGAAAAATGGTTCTAGAAAAAGCTATTAAACTTTTTTTTTTCTTCCCTTTACAGTGCTGAAGGATATTCTGGTGTTTGGAAGGGGGATTAGAGAGATTTGAGGCASAACAAATTCAATGGTGTATATGAAAGTGTACATGTTTGAGTACAATTTTTAGGAATTAAATGTGTTAACCAGTAGAACCATTGCCCTCAAAGTTATCTGTCATAAGCGGGAGTTAAATAAACAGGCTTGTGGGTAGAAATGGTTTTAGCTCTCAGCTGTATTTATACATCCTTGGGAATTAGAAAATCTAAGTCAGGACAATTAAGCTGCCACAATATCAGTATATAGCTAGAGTATAATACTGAATTAAGGGTGGTGAAGTCATCAAAGTGAGTTGAAGCATTTTATGCATTAGTGTAGTATTTTAACCAGTAGCTGGGCTAATCCCTTAGTGTAAGGGTGATGTGCCACCACCTGGAACATGTATAGTCCTTGCTGCTAAATTCCATTTAGTGTAATTCTATATGCCATCTTTTAACAATTGCAAGCTCTAAAGGTAAGCCGATATTTTACATGGCATTATTCAGCATCCTGTTATAGCTAGAACTTTTATAGCTACTCCAGACAACAAAAATGGCAAGGTCTTGTTTTTGAGCACGTACTGCTTGTGTAACTTGCATGGCTACTCCTGTGCATGCTGGAACTTCTGCAGAGACTTTATTCTTTTTCCTCCTGGTGGGCTCACTGATTGTTGTCTAAGAAGTCAGTTTGCATCACCTGTACTCCTTAATTGTCTCTGCTTCTAGATGTAGGTACAGCATGGAGTAAAACATGACTRCAAATGCTTTCAGACATTTCCTTCAGAATGTGTCCTTTGCAGAAGCACTATATTGTGTCAAGTACTGAATCAAACTTCTTTCTTTTTTGTCATTGCTACAGCTGTTTCATTGAGTAGTAGCAGGTTAGCCCTAGTTCTGTGATTTTGTGGCTTTTGTTGGGATGGWTGTGTGATGGGTTGATCCTGGCTTGACACCCAGCTCCCCTCCAAAAGCCCTGTCACTCCCCTTCCTGCTTGACTGGTGAGAGAAAACATGAGGCAAAGTTCACAACAGGGAGAGATTACTCAATGATTTATTGTATGGGCAAAACAGACTGAACTTGGGGAAATTGGTTGAATTTATTACCCATCAAATCAGAGTAGGATAATGAGAAGTCAAACCAACATCTTTCCTAACCCTTTTCACTTTCCTTGGCTTAACTTCATTCACAATTCTCTACCTCCTTCCTCCAGCTATTCAGGAGGACCAGAATAATGGTTCATCATATATTCCCACCATATCTCTGGTCACAACTTGCTTCTGCTCGATGACTTTTTTTTTTCTTCTTACATTATCCCAGAGGTGCTTCTGCCATCACTGACTGTCTCAGCTTGGGGAGCAGTGGATCCATCTTGGGAGTTGGCTGACACTGGCTCTGTAAGACATGAGGGAAGGTTCTGGCAGCTTCTCAGAGAAGTTGCCTTTGTAGCCCCCCCAACGTACGAGATTACAAGTTTCTCATAGCTAGAAGAAAAGGGGAATGAGAAATCTTGCAAACATTTACTGGCCATCATGAATTTGACCCCTTCCCTCTCTTATTACAACTCTGTTTCATGAAGGGGTCCTGTCAGGGATATACGTATTTAAAACTGCTGGGCTAAACTATCTCCTAAAACAAGGGATGCAGTGATGGTTGCTATTTTTGACAATTTGTTRTCTAATCTATTCTGAAGACCACCCCAAAGTTCTGCAAGTTACCATTATAGTTCAATGCTTAGTTACTCCTTTTTCTGTTTGTTTTTCTCCTTTGCCATCCCTTTTTCTTGGCTAAACAATCCTTGTAGTTTTTTTGAATGCTGTCATAAATAAGTATATGCTTTCATGGTTTCTATACTTCAGTGCTTTCCTTTGGAGACTTTCTGTAGGTGAGGAGAACTCTCCAATATTTTCAGATTTTCTTGAGAAAATTGCCTGAGATTGGCAATAATGCTTCTATTTAATACTTGATGTCCTCAGATCAGTGGGAGAACCTTTTTGTAGTCTGTACTCCTGTGTAGGTGTCTTAATGCCCCTACTACTTTTTCTCACTATGGGATGACAAGTTGATTTAAGTTCATTTGCGGTAACTGGGTACCTTCTTGTGAAAGTCTTGACAGACCTTCTTTTTGAATTTATTAACAAACAGCAGTACTTTCAATAAAGGGCTGAATATAATACATGTTATAGCAATTTATGACCTTTCCATAAAGTTGCAGTTTATTCTTTTTTTGTCAGCTGCTCTAGTGCTCAAAACATTGGTGTATAAAAGGCTAATTCTCTGCTTAGGTTCCCTTTTTTGACACTTGATTTACTCAGCTAATCTACTGTACCATCCCATGCCCCCTTCCCACAAGATCTGATGTTTTAATACCTTTATGACTTTTCTTACCAATTCAGTTAAAAAAACAAAGGAAAGGTTTTCCATCCATTTCAGGATGAGAATGAAAGTACTAYTTAAATGGCTTGCAAATAACACTGATCTAGTATTTGTAATGCTGTAGGTGTGCCATCTCAAAAAGCACTTTTGAAACTTGCTCTATGAAATGTGTACTTAAGTAGGATATATTCTATTGTTGGTTATGCTAATGAGCCTTACTAATATTTTCAGTTCTTTTGGGATGTAGGTTTTTTTGTTACTGTCTCTGACTAATCAAACTGGGGGCAAGTTCCAGGTGTGTATTATAATGCATGCAAATACTTTTCTGTCTTTTACAACACGAATTGGTAATAAAATATTTCTGTCTCTAAAATATGACAACTTTTTTTTTGCTTTCTTTGCAGATATTTTCCAACTTATCTCTGAATGAGCGCTGTCTTTCAGTGTCATTAGTCTGTAAATATTGGCGTGATCTCTGTTTAGATTTTCAGTTTTGGAAGCAACTGGATCTCAGTAGTCGTCAGCAGGTATGAAAATRTCATCACAGAATAATTGTTTTGATGACTCAGAATTTGTTCTTGGAACTTGTACAGAGGCAAACAAAAGAAATACATAAGATGGTTATATCTACTTTCATGGATTTTTCTTCCATTAGCTGAAAATGTCTGGACCCTTAGATTTGTTCCTTTAAATATAGTGTATTTTGTCTGAGATCAGTTGATAAGAAGTGTGAACACAAATGCTGTTTGAATTGGACTGTGGGTTATCTATTTTAACTTGTCATTGTAGTGTTAGTTCCATTTACAGGAACTATCAAACCTCTTAYAAATTCAAAGGCAAGCGTGAGCTTTTCTGAAGTTGCTGTAGTTTGAAGAATGGTCACATATGTGGTCCTTGCACTGTTTGTTTTAAAAAAAATTATTTTTTCTGCAGCTGGTATAGCTCTTACTGATTAGAAGACAGGCTGTGTTAGGGTTTTTTTTTTATTTTTAGGCCTTTAGCCTCTCTGGAATGAAATATTAATGGATTTAATTTAGTGAGATCATTAGGGRGCCTGGCTGTAAATTGTACAGGGTAACTTTCTTTCATGAAAAGCTGGTATTGTTTGCCCTTGCCTCTTAGATTTCTTGYTGAGTAGTGACTTGCAGGTGTTTATAAACATTATCATGAGAGTTTCACGAAAATACAGGGTACAGAGAGGTAACAGTTGGAGGGTTCCATTTGAAGAAGGATTTTTTTTTCTTTGCAATTTGTCATTGCTGTAGTTTAATTCCAGCCTGCAGCCAAGGCACAGGCAGCCATTTGCTCACTCCTCCACCATTAGGGCTGGGGAGAGTTGGAAGAGTAAAAGCTACAAAACTCATGGGTTTAAAGACAGTTGAATAGGGAAGCAAAAGTTACACACACACACACAAAAAGCAAGACAAAGGAGTAATTCACTACTTCCTGTCGGCTGGCAGGTTGTCAGCCATCCCCTGCATAGTAGGGCCCCATCATACAGAAGGATGACTTCGGAACATAAACACCATCATTGGAAATGTCCCCCCATTCCTTCCTCCTTCTTCCTCTCGCTTCAAAAAATAAGCATGATACCATAAGGTCTGGAATATCCCTTTGGTCAGTTTGGGGTCATCTGTCCTGGTTGTGTCCCCTCGCAGTGTCTTTGCCAGTGTGTGAAAAGCTGAAAAGGCCTTGGCTCTRTGCAGTCCCTGTTCAGCAATAAGAAAACCAACACAAATCCAAAACATAGTCCCCCACTACTCACTGAAGAAAATTACTTCTACTCTAGGCAAAACCAGCACAGTTCTTTTCCATCTTAACACCTGCCTGATGAGAGAGCAAGAAAGATTTGACTTGCTGCAAATGCAAAACAGATTGAATGCAGCAAAGACTGTTCCTCAGCTGTGTAAGAGAAAAACCAAAAGGGATTTGTGTTGCTCTCTTGCCCTCTTTGGTTAAAGCTTAATCTATGCTAAGTGATGGATAAGTATTTCTGAATGGTCCTTGGTAGATTGTCTTCTTGTAAGATTATTGTAATTTTTGCTAACTATAGTGTGTGTAGATATGCTATGGATGGAATAGGTGGTGGCCCCAGGGAGGTGATGGATGCCCCACTTGGCTCCCTGCACACCCCACACTCACACAGTCAGACCAGTTTCCTTACTGGCTCTACTTTAGGCTTCCCACAGCAGAGTATCAGACTTCTGGGTCCTTATAATAATGTAATTACTGTGCAACAGAGTGACAGCTCAAGCTGTTGCCAAGGAGGAGGAGGAGGAGGAGGAAGGACCCCGACAAAGGGACTCTTGGGCTTTTATACTCTCACAGTGTGTACAGGGACATCTGGTGCCCCTCGGCTTCTGCTGTGTTTCCAAGTGTCCCTCATCTGGCTGTGCCACAGGTCCCTGTGCCCTTTATTGTGCAAAGGGTTGGCACTGGTTCATGGCCTTTTGCCTCTTGCTGTGCCACCCAGAGCTCAACCTGAGCTCCTTGACAGCTGCAGCCTGAGCTACTGCGCAACAATTCTCCTTTTGGTTTAATTGAGCATACCTGATAATATGCTAAAATGGAAAAAGGAAAGTTTCAAGACATTTAAATTACTGCCCTTCCATACAGCATTACTACAAGTAACAAACAGAATGAAGTCTAACATGATTGCCACCAGGTGGAAATGATTATCAATATGAAATCACATATATTTCAGTAATCAAAGKTAGTGATTACTAGTTCATTGGCTACAAGTTCCATAGTTCTGTTATTAGTATTCTGTCTTCTATTGGTTAAGTGATTCTCTTACTTCTTATGCTGATTTGCCCACAGATTGATTCTGTCTCTTCTTTTGGGTTGGTGGATTTCTTGGGTTGGTGGTCTGTGGTGTTCGTTATCTCTCCTTGCTAGAATCACCTTTTACCCAGCTGGAGCTGGTTCAGCGCAGTTGCTGAGTTGGCAGTTAGTTTCTTCCTTATCTAGGAAGTTCTGCCAAATGTCGTTGTGGTCTGTAAATTCTGCATTCTTTGTGTCCACTATCACTAGTATATCACTCTCCCCAAGCTTTGTTAATTTCCCCTAGGAACTGAGGTCATTGAAGCACATCAAGCCCTAAACCTTAATAAGGTAATTCTACCAACAAGTAATTTATCTTTCTCGTGACTGGACATCACACAAAGTCTATTCATGGTTTCTGAAAAGTAGGTCTGTGGTTACCCTTCTGACTTTGGAGCTGAATCTGATTCTTGAAAAGTTCTGTCAAGTTGGGCAGCTGTTTAGGATTCTTTTTGTAGTGACATAAATTCCTGCAGCTGCCCATATTTTTTGYACTTGTCTAGTGTTGCCTCTCCCTTTGTGAGCTTTATCATGAAACCATCTAGCTGTAATCTAAATTGTTAGAGCTGGTTTTCCCCCAGTTGTCCATATTCCATCAAAAGCACCAAAACACCCTGAAACAAACCAATTACAGTAAAATATGTGGCTGTGTTTGTAAAGGTATATTTCCATTCTCCCCATAGCTCATGGAAATGCATCTTAGAAACAGCCATTTTGCTTAGAAACAGCCATTTAATGACATTAAAGGTATTTATGAACAAAGCTATATATGTGCGTATTTGTTTTTTCTTTGCAGGTCACTGATGAGCTGTTGGAAAAAATAGCGTCAAGAAGCCAGAATATTACTGAAATCAATATTTCTGATTGCCGCAATGTATCTGATACAGGAGTATGCATATTAGCAATTAAATGTCCTGGGCTCCTAAGGTATACTGCCTACAGGTGTAAACAGCTTTCTGACACCTCTATTATTGCCGTTGCCTCTCAGTGTCCTCTTCTTCAGAAAGTGCATGTGGGCAATCAAGACAGACTCACTGACGAAGGCCTGAAACAGGTAACCAAATTTCTTTCGTAAACTCAATATGTTGTAGCTTACCTAATGCAAAAAGCGACCTGTAAGAAGATACCCTCTCTTAGGATTTAATTAAAATAATAATAAAAAATCTTCTGTAGTAAAAATTGGTTTATGGAGACTTTTTTTTGGTGCAGTAAATACTCTAGAGACTGCATGCACTTTCATTTTTCTTTTTAATATCCAGGGATTTAATTATCCCTTTTATAGTTAAATCTGCAGTGTGCCATCCTGTACCTCACTTCTGTTGGATTCACTTTTTCTGAGTTTAGTTGCTATTTGAAACCTGTGTTTAAGTAACTCATTTTYGGTTCATGAATGCTGAAAGTGACTGAGATCATTATTTGTTAGGTGTGCAGGAAGGTTTCATCAGTTGTCAGAGTGTTAAAGCAGCATTTAGGAATTACGGTAAATCAAATACGCTGTTAATGGTTGAGCATAAAGGTCTTGTTAGCTACATATACACCCAGTAAATTTAGTTTAGTAATTTAGTTCTTATGTGCTGCTCTTAGCCAATTTTTTTGGCTATAGTTAGCAACTTCATTTTATTATGTAATCATTTTATTATGATTTTTTCCTGTTTGCATATAGTGTTTCAAAGCCTKGGAAGAAAGATAATTTTTTAAGGGGGGTTGAGAAGCAGAAAAAAAGTATTTTCTCCCATCTCTTCATTTCAATCATAGCCTGTTGTTTTTTTCCCTTTGATTTCATTAATTGCAGCTCGGTTCAAAATGCAGRGAATTGAAAGACATACATTTTGGGCAATGTTACAAGATCTCAGATGAAGGAATGATCATTATAGCTAAAGGATGTTTGAAGCTGCAAAGAATATATATGCAAGAAAACAAATTAGTAAGTACACATCATGATTTTTTTTCTTCCCAAGGCATTTTAATTGTCAGAGCTTTCTCTTGCTCTTTATCGTTTTAAAATTTTCTTCAGAATGGCTACTTTTTGCAAAAAAAAAGTTTCTGGCTGTGAAAATWGCAATTCTGCAGAGATGGCTCAGAAGGTGACAGAGAGTACGAGTTAAGTTAAACGTATTAACTTCTTGTTTTTAACATGACATTTCAGCAGTAATTGTTTGGGAGATGCATGGCTTGTATAGGAAAAGACTTAGTTCATGTGGAATGTTTGTTTCTACAAGTGCAGTAAAAAGTGCAAACTTAGCTAAAATGTTTCTGGAGCTTGGGTTCTTGACTACAAGTGATACACTCTGGTAATGTTTTCTTGAAATGTCACTTTCTCATTAGGATAAAGTTGAGTAGTGTGCCTGTGCTAGTAGAAGGAAGTTGTTGTGGAGTCATAAAACAATTTTGTGTCCTAATTCTGAGCAGTGTATGAAATGATAGTTTCTAATGTAGAATGCCAGTAGATGTAAACTTGTAAATATGCAATAATAATAAATATAGTATAACAGCTTATTAAAATTTCTTTTTTGCAAAAATTAGTAAAACTTGCTTGCAGTTGAATTTTTAACGGTCAGCTAACATCATGGTTATAAACTTTATTTGAAAAATGCTGAACTGGAACAGATGTGTTTGTAAGTAAAGGGCATACCTTATATTCAAGAATCATTTGATACTTGGCTTCAAGAAAGAAATGCTAATGCTTAAGATAGTTGATTTGAGAATGTTTTAAAAAAAAAAAAAAAAAAAAGGAAAAAGGCAGCCAGTTACTGGTTTTGATCAGAAACTGAGATTTCTGCTTGGTTCAGATGCAGAAAAAGGGTGTGTCCCACTTGTGTGTCCCAATTCCTATATTGAAACAAAATCTTGAATACTATCAATGTTAGTCCTTCTAATACTTACCTTAATACATAAAAAAATGTTAAATATAGAGAAGAAAGAAATAAATGTTCTGAGATGCCTGGAAGGAAAACCATCTTTCTTCCTTCTCTGGAAGGAGAAAGGTAGGTAAATTGAAATTATTTATCTTCGAATGGAAGAGGAAAACCTTCCAGATTTGCATAATTGTATGTGAAATATGGTTTAATTGTAATTAAGAATGTGGTATGTTTAAATATCTGAGTAAGTGCACGATCACTGGAAAATACAAAGGGGAGATATTAACTTCGCTTTCCATGTAGATGCATCTTGGAGTTCTCATCATTGAAGTTTTTATTCTTTTCATAGTGTGAAATGTAGCCTAAGAAGTTGTTATTAGTTATTAGCACTTAAAGACTTTGTAGTTGTAATATCTGAAATGTGATCAAAGAAAACATAGGAACATAGGAAATAGCTTAATTCTTTTTAAGGCAATTGTGAAATGTACTCTTAACTTTTACTCTGCTTGGTTGCCTTCATTTATGAAAACGTAACACTGGTTTTTAATTGGTGTTGTCAAATGAATGGGAAATCTCTAAATTTTGTCCTTTTGAGAATTTGTAAAGTGACTTGTCAAAACTGATTTATTCCCAATTTTTCCATGAATATACTTCCTTTTTTTAAAGTATCTAATTGTATTTAAATTCCAGCCCATCCTTAATTTTTCAAGGGGTGAAAAAGAGCCTTGTGGCAAACTTTGTATAGGTCTGTAAAATTAGGATTCAGCTGCATAAATCTTCATATGTACACATGAAGTAAGTTGTGAAGCTGATAGGAACTCCAAGGTGTTGAATCCTTACAATAAAATAACACTTGAACAATGCCACTAGATGATAAAGCAGCTGAAGTTGACATGCTTTCCCCTTGCTGGTGGCAAGAGACTTTGAAGTCTTGCTGTCAGTGTGATGAACCAGGACAAATTTTAAAGAAATTGTCATGCGGTTGTGAAATAGAAATTCTCACACACCAAAATAAATAAAAAATACAGGAATTTTTTCATTGTTTAGTTGTGGAATTATCTTGAAAGGGAGTAATACCTGGCAAATGGTTTGTCAGATTCTATGGGTTAGTGTCTCCCTTCTAAAAAAYCTGCTCTCAGTATTTGCTGTGGCATATATTACTTTCTGCTGTTCTAATGAAGAAGGTGATTTGGGAAAATATGTGTGTGTCTGTTTTCAATATGAGTAAGTATTCATTCTCTGAAATGAAAATAATCTGTGGCAAGGAAAATGAACTTGACATACGAGAGCTTGATCTGTGTATTTGAAGTTCATACATTGTCAGTATGCTATGGAAAGAGGACTCCTATGCCCCCCTTTTAAGCAACTGCTGTAGTATCCATGTAAATAATGTAAACAGTCTTGTGTTTTGTATTTTCTTGTTTATTCCTTTCTCAGCGGTGCTCAAAATCATGCATGTGACTCTTAGAGGCAATTTCTGTTAATTTCAAAATGTGTAGTGCATTACAGATAGTACATGATGGTTGAGCTTTCGTGTAGGCTTGTCTCACACTGATGGGTTTTACACTTCAAAAATACATCCAGGCAGAGGTAACCATCAGCTAAATAATGCCTTTGTGAGTGTTACTTTGCAGTGAAATGTGTGTGGATCAGTCAACACAGTTCAGTTGCTTCATCTGTTGCTAAGTAACTCCATTACCAGACTGCTGAGCAGAAACAGAGAAAGAAGAACTTATGTTCTGATTGTTGAATATGCAAGACATTTCACAGAAAAATAGGCCCTTTCCTGGTTTTGAAGTGCTGATTATGTCATGGTAGTAAATGAAAGCTGCAATTAATAAATGAGACAAAGGATRTAGGAGGAAAAAGTTAACGTTGTATGGCTTATTTAACAACAAAAGGTTGTTGTTATTTACATAATTGTTTATGATTAATATCTCTTCAAATTATGTTTATTTTTCCTCTGTCCTTTGAATGGAAGAATAATTAAATGCTGAGCCTCTTTTCTGAGCATACTGGCCACATTGAGAACCTAGCTGAAAAAAACCAAAAATTTACAGGACTTATGAAGTGTGCCACTGTGTAGTGTCTCTCCTGATCTGTCCCCAAGCTGTCTGATACAATTGAATAATCTCACAGAATTTCAGAAATTATAAAGGTAAATGAAGTAAAGGCATATTTACATCATATATATATATATATATATAAACCTTGTATATCATAAAGTGTAAATGAAAGAAAGGTTATAGCTCTGTCCACACAAAACTATAAAATGTCTTAATTTCTTGGCTTAGTTGGACTTCTTATTTTATGGTAGTGACTAGCATGGAGTGCTATAACTTCTGTGTTTACATCATGTATTATTTGATGTGAATGAAGCTGGTGGAAGTCAAATGAGTTAATTCTATTGTTATCTTTGTACCAACTGCATTTTTTGTCCTTCCACCTCACAGAGAGCACATAGCTTAGCTACTAAGTCAGAGAAGTGCTCCACACTAAGAGGTAGCACTGTTACTGAGACACTGACTGTGGAGGGTACTTAATCTAAATTGCTTTTATTGTAGCCTTTCTTAGAAGGATGGAGTTGTAAAATGTTTGAAAGGTTTTAGGGCATGCAGAACAATGTGGTGACTACAGCACACCCAAAGAGAAGGGTTACCAGCTCCAGCTTATGCTCAAGCTCTCTAGAGTAGACCTAGATTTGGGAGCTCACTGTAGAGATGGGGAAAAACCTTCTCCACTTAACTCATTTGATTTAGGAGGTGGAGTTTTAGATACTGTAGAGAATGACAGTATGTAGAGTATTTCTGTCTCTATATTTTGCCCCCTTCCTCTCTTTCCTCTTGTACAAGCTCATTTAGGAGTGAATGGGAAATAAGACTGCAACTAAGGTACTATAGTAGCTGCTTCCTTTCCAATAAAACGATGTCATGAAGTAGGATCCTTAAAGACAAATAATTTGTCTGATGGTTCCCAAATGTATTTATTAAGACAAAATATAACTTTGATCATTTCTATGTTAGACTCTTGCCTCTTCAGTTTCAAGATAACCAAGTTTTGGCTCAGTTGGCACTATGCTTGATATGTGATAGCACTTCTTAAATAAATATTTTGCTACTTAACAGTTTTTTAAGATGGGTATTCTGTAAGTGTTCTACTTACCTTTGCAGTTTGCAGCAGATAAGAGTTGAAATTTAAGGTAACTGTCATGCTATATTTAAAACTGCAGTGTTTCATATGCTTAATATAGAGTGAACAATACACTTCTTTGGTTTCAGTAAAAAATAATTAAGATAGATTAAACAAAACATTACAGTTTTGTCACACGAACAGTTGACATAGGCTTTTAAAGCATTGACTGGAATCAGCTTAGTATAAAATGCATATTAAAAAATATTTTTAATTTTCATATTTTCTGAATAATCAGCATCCTGTAATCTAATAAATCCATTTTTGTCTTTTAATGATATTCCCCTCCCCACTTCTGTTTTTACTTTGGGAAGCATTTGCTTTCCTGCTTCATACTTGTCATCCTCAAAACACTTTCTTGAGCATTGTGCCCTGTGTCACAAACATCAAGAGGAGAGAGTTCTTTGCTTTGAGGTTAGCCCAGACAAATTGTTTCAGGAAGAAGGTCGGTATTATGAGGCACATAAACTGCTCAGTGTCAAATGTTTAGAATGTATGGAAATAACTTACTTTGTTTCAATGGTAACAAGTAAATGAAATTTTTTTTTGAAAAATATTCCAAAAGAATGTAATTTCCCTATCCTTTTTCCATTCCCCATAGTATATTCCCCATGCTGTTTCACTTTTTACATGTTGTTGCTTACAACTGTTCTACTATTTGGAGAAATTTCAGAAAAAGAATTCTTTTCCCCTGTTTCTTCACACATACTTTCCCAAAGTACTTTCTAACTACTTTATTTCATTGTCTGAAGTTTTGAAAAGAACTGTAGTTGTTCCAGACTTCCCCGTTCAATTATTATTTTTACAGTTAAACTCCTATGTTCAGCAGGACCCTGTTGCTGATACAGGCACATCCTCCTCCTTCAGGCATGACATA